GCATACTACAAGATGTATTTCAATTGTATTACTGCCATGAGCATTAAATTTATAACAAATATATTCTGAGTGAATAAATAGATATTAATTTAAAAATATGAACAAACGGCACTCTTTTTTGCACTAATTTATTAAATAATAATTTTCACAAACGTTTCGAGGTTTGTCTCATCTTCAGTGTGTTATAATTTAAAATTTATTTTCCATATTTCCATATTTTAAATTTTAAATTATAACACGCCGATGATGTGACAAACCTAGTCTCGAAACGATTGTGAAAATTATTATTTAATAAGTTAGTGCAAAAAAGAGTGTCGTTTGTTCATATTTCCAAATTAATTAAATTTATAGTTTAGCTAAAACAGTCTTGAATTAATTAATATCGTTTACTAAATTATTATTACTATTTTATTATTACCTTCGTAACAATCTGCTCCACATTCCGACTACCAAAGTAGCCAAGATGCAAATAAATAAAAAGGCGACTACATCTAACGAGTGCAAAGCGAACCAATTCAAATATCTTGCAGCAGTTCTCATTGCAGGAGCGCCCTGGTGTCTTATAACATACTCCGTCCAGTACACTGCCTCGTCCAGAGGCTTAATGGGCCTGTCTTTGGAATGGATTAGAAACCCTAGAAGGAAAAAATACAATGAAACACAATAAAATAATAACAGGAGAAGGTAGACATTTGTTGCCATTTTGCAATTGACCAGGAGACAGTAGGAGTAAAAGCAAAAAATGTCATTATATATTGATTTTATAAACGAGGCTATTTTTGAATATGTTTTATACTTTTCTACAAAGTCTCTTTCCAATGTGTAACCTTCTGAACCCTCTGCATAAAATATTTTACCATCTTAAACTTTCTGTTAGGTATTTGAATTTTCGCGCCAGAGCGTATCTAACAGAAATTTATTCTTTGTTAATTCGTTACTAACTTCAGGTGGACGCCATGTTTGTTTTTAACTGACATGATTTTTAAATAAAGATATGCAACTAACACTTCTGAATAAATATATTTCCACAAGAGGTGGTGGTATAATAAAAAAGCTTTCTTAAAATTACTCAATTTAATTTAAATGTTACTTGTATCGCGGTTCAGCAGCAAGAGAGTTATTTTACACAGTTTTAACATAAACAAAAGATGGCAGATATATAATTATACCAGGGGAACACTATTGCCAACATCACTAATAGTAATGGCGGGACATTTGAATTAATAAATATATATATATATATATATATATAACATTACATAGAAAAAATGTGACAATCAATTTTGTCTAGGTGGTAAATGATCAATCAAGGGAATTAAAAAGTATCTATGTATTATAAAATAAAAAGTATCTATCTATTATCTACTTTACTTGATGGCGTTCTGCTTAAATCCAACGTCCTGCAAAACGTCCTTCAAAGACTTCTCGAATTTTTCTTGAATTTCATGAACAAAGACATTCTAGCAATACCTTTTCTCACATAATTTTTAACATTTGTCATTTGATCACCGTATAAAGGCACACCGACCATTGGGACACCACAATAAACGGCTTCCATGGTTCCTAAGAGACCTCCATGAGTCACAAAGACCTGGAGGAGTGGACATAGATATAAAATAAGATAATAATAGATAATAGATAATAAAATAATAATTGTATTGTATTGGTGACAAATATACTTACTTTGATGTTGGGATGAGCCAAAAGGTCCCTTTGAGGTAACCATGGTTGGGTAACTACATTTTTGGGTACTACTAAACCTTGTGGAAAGTTCTTCGGGTTTGCTTTCCACAGAACCAAATGGGGTAACCTGTAAATGACAAATTTTGATAAAAAAAACTAGTGGTGCATGGCATCGTACCTTAGGGCTAATTTCTGAAACTTCCGGTACCATAACAAAACATTCGAAGAATAAAATTTAGTCCAAAAAGAAATTGAAACAAAAAAAATTTTCTCTTTTTGTCAACACAAGCAAAAAGTTTTTTGAATCATTCAGATCGGATGCTTAGTTCTCTCAAAAACTACCATTTTTAGCACATTTAGCTCGGTATCTCCGAAACGACTAAACCTGCCTTTGCCAAAATCTAATCACCATGCACTTCTACCCATCATTACAAATTGAATGTTTTTAGATCATTCAAATCGGATGCTCCGTTCTTTCAAAAACTCGATTTCTATTTTCTGCACTCTTTGCTCTGTATCTCCGTAACCGCCGGACCTGCCTTTGTCAAAAACTAATCAGCACATCTCCCTATCAATAGGAATCGAATATTTTTTGAACCATTCAAATCGGTTGATCCGTGCGCCCGAAAACGTGACCGAAAAATTGTCACCATACATACACACATACATCCATTTTCTCTAAGGTATGCCAAAACGTTCTTTAAAACGTGTAGATATGCAAAAATTTACAATTTCGATTTTTAGACGATTACAATAACTTACCCTACGGAAAGTTAATAATTTGTAAAACAAATAAAATGTAATTTTAATTCTTCATCTTTTCTAAATAAATTTAAAGGTATTGTTTCTTTGCCAATTTTAGGCAGTTTTACTTATTTTTTAAAAAAGATATTTTCTGAAGAAGGTTTTCTTTTAGTTTCCAAATTTGAAAATACTCAAAATTCTTTGTATACTTCTTTAAAATCAAATAGAACTGTTGACTCCGTTTACAAAGTGAATTGTAATGATTGTGAAAAATTCTATATTGGGGAGAGCTCATAATATACGTATATCTAAGAGAATGCTTCAACATAATTATAATTCTAAATATAAAAATCAATACAAAACAATGCTATCTGAACATATGCAAGATTTTAAACACACTTTTGATTTAAATAATCCCATTATTTTATATATTGAAAAAAATTTTGACCTAAAAAGGTTTGCTGAATCTGTTTAACGTATGTAAGTAAGTCAGATTTTTTAAATATTTGAACAGTTTTTTAACACTTTATAACTTTTTTTCTTCTTTTTTTTAGATCTCGAAATATTTTAATTACTAGATTTCACATTTAAAGTTCTATATATATATATATATATATATATATATATATATATATATATATATATATATATATATATATATATATATACGAGGTGTGTTCAAAAAGTACCCGGAATTTTTAAATTTCGCGGGTCTGGAGTGTCTGATTGTCAAATTTTTTTTTATTGTGTTGGTATATATGCCCCTAAAGTATGATGAAATTTTCAGCTATATTCACTGTTTACTTTGTCTGTGGTAGTCGCTAAGGTTCGACGTGTTTTTCTGAGCTCGGCGATTTTTACAATGGAAGAATTGAAAAGTCAAAGAATTTGTATTAAATTTTGCGTAAAAATGAAATAAAGTGTTGCAAAGTGCAAAATTCACCAGATATGGCTCCGTGTGACTTTTTCCTATTCCCAAAGTTGAAGGGACCCATGAATGGATTTGAAGGACGAAAGGACGGCGGTTTCCTCGATTGAAGAAAATCGCTGAGAGTGCTCAAGGACATATCAAAAAGTGAATATCAAGGGTGCTTCGAAAATTGGAAAAAACGCTGGCATAAGTGTATTATATCTGGAGGGGACTACTTTGAAGGGGACCACATTAATGTAGACGAATAAATAAATATTTTTTGAAAAAACGAAAATTCCGGTACTTTTTGAACAGACCTCGTATATATATATATATATATATATATATATATATTAGGTTGTCAAATATCTCCCTTCCGCTTTTTTGGTCTTGATTTATAATACAAAAAGGCGGAAGGGAGATATTTGACAACCTATATATATATTTGTTTTTGGAACAAAATATTTGTGTTCTAGTTGTCAAATTTTATATATTTTATATATAATGAGTATTACTAGTATAATAGCTCGAAACGTATTAAATAAGATTTTATATTTACTTTCTTTTAATTTTTTATTTTTTCGACTTGTGGCTGAAAAAACTATATAATATGTTTCAAAGTCGAAATAAACAATTTCAAGATATATATATATATATATATATATATATATATATATATACGTTATATTAAATGTATATGTTACCTTGAAAAAGTATCCAACATTATTTGAAGATTCTCTTGAGGTATCGTCTCAGATTGCACCATTGAACCAAAACTAAAATACACGACACCTTGTTTTGCACCGTCCAACAGTTTCTGTAAATCCTAAAATAAAAGTTTCATATTTAAATTGGGTAATATACTCCTAAAATTCCATGAATACAGATATATTCAAGGTGAGCTTTCCCAAGAATTAGTGTTTAGTGATCACAAGTCAAAGTTGGAAATAAATCTAAAGTTAGAGTTGGAAATAAATCTAAAGAAATAGGTCTAAAATATGTTGCTGCATCAAATTAGCATTAAATTTTGTCTAATAATATTTGGAACAAAAATCTTTAAAAAGTCGATAACGTGATTAATGTACACTAGGGAATGCAATACCGATGGAAAATTTCAATACCGGTATTTCGGTAATTTTTCATTTTTAAAACCGGAATACCAGTAAATTACCGGTATTTTTATTATCTTAAACAAAAGTAAACAAAATTGAAAGTTACTAGTACAAATATAAAAAATGTATAAACAACTACAACTATATTCAACTAAACAATAAAAACATTAAAATAAAACAATAATTTTATTTTTTTAAATAATAATTTAACAAAATTATATCCAATTTAATTAATTCATTATCATTATCGAGTATATCGAGTACTTTTCACAAAAAACAAACTTATGAGTAGGAAAGCCCAAAATTCATAACAGATCATATTACATTATTATAATAAACTGTATTGTCTGTATCCGATGTGTTAAATTAGCATAATCTCCAATATTTAAAAAAAAATTTTTTTTCTACACTAATTTAAGATCGGATACTTTATCGAGATAAATAATAAATTACTATAATTGTAGAGTATTGTTATTTAAAACAATGTGATGCTACTATAGTATTTTCAAACTTCGAAACGTTTTCAAAAAATAATATTTTATAATTGTAATAAGAAGCAAAAGTATTTAGTAATTATCATAACTATTATGTATAAAGTTAGAAAAAAATTAAGATTACGCAGGGGTAATCTGTATGATATAAAATATTTTGGCGCAAATATTACTTAAAAAACCGTTACATTTTTACATAAGACGAAACAAACATCATTATCTATCAGTCCAATTCTATTTATTGTAACACGATATTGAAGCCCTTTGGAAAGCAATAAATATTCAGTTTAATGACGAGTTGAGATAATATTTGACATTTGTTTATCTTATAGAATCACTTGAAGATATAGCTGTTTATGCGATTATGGAATTTAAAAATAAATTTGTTCCAAGAAATTTAAACTTTAGTGTATTAAATAGCGCTTACGTAAAAATACCGAAAATACCGGTATTTTTGGGGTAAATACCGGTAAAAATACCGCCAAAAAATCGGGCGGTTTACTGGTAATTCGGTATTGCATTCCCTAATGTACACCCCCTTATAGCGGAATTCATTCTCTCTCGAGCAGCAGCCACAACCAGGTTAAATTTATAAAATATTAAACATCTTTAATTTTCATATAATCTTCTATTTTCTTTTTATACCTGTGGTAAGGGTGCAGGTTCTGGTGTAATATGCAATCCACCGACTTCTTTATGTGCAGGACTCGAAGGCCTGGCACCAGTCAACGAGAAATGACTATTGGACAGTAGCAGACTTGGTGTAGTGCTTAATTTTTGCAAAGGTGGAGCATCAGGAAATGTAGAGGACATGTAGGACTCTGAGGGTAGTCTTGATACGTAGTGATAACTGAGAAATATAAAATATATAATTGATATATATATATATATATATATATATATACATTAAATGTTAAATATGAACAATACATTACTCAGATTTTTAACACACGCTTTATTTAATAATTACAGACGTTTCGAGACTATGGCCATAGTATATATACCGGTATGTCTCATCTTCAGTGTAATTTCAAAAAACAGTTACTTATATACTACACATCCTTTAATTTTTTATTTAAATTACATTCAATTTTTGATATACAAAAAACACGAACAATCCCCTTGCAATGTTTGACTCAGTACTAAAAAACATGTGATACTTTTTATTGAAGAAAATAAATAAATGAAAAAAAATTATAAATTATTAATGTTTATATAAGAGTCGTGTAAAATATTTGTGTCGGTTCTCAGATTTATATATCTATATATATTAGATTGTCAAATATCTCGCTTCCGCCTTTTTGCTCTTGGTTTATAATACAAAAAGGCGGAAGGGAGATATTTGACAACCTTATATATGTAAATCTCGTGTCACGATGTTGGTTCGCGATGGACGCCCAAACTACTGAACCGATTTTAAATTTTATTGGCTCATCGTGTGCATATATATCCAACTTAGGTTATAGGAAATTTTGAAAAGTAAATTTAAAATATAAATATATAATTTTTATAAATTTCTAAAAATTTTGACAGAAAATGGCCAAAAAAAAAACAAAACACTAAAATGACAAATGTCAAAATTTAAGGAAATCCAAATTTGATGAAATTCTATATTCAAAATCACTGTTTATAGTTTTAAATTTAATTAAAAATCAATGCTTAAAAATTTAAATAAATGTTGACATGTAAAAAAATTAAATGTCATTTGTCAATATTTATGAAAATAATTATATAAATAGATTTACGATTTAGATTTAATTGATTAGCTTACCAAATTATTTCGAATACCAAAACTTCATCAAAACATTATAGATCACAATAAACAAGCGGCATATTGAATTTAAAATTAATCATAAACAAAATTTTGACATTTCACAAAAAAATGTTTAACGACTTACTTCTAATATTTATATAAAAAATTGTATATTTAGATAAAGATACTGCGTTTTAAAAAAAAATGACATAAACAAAATTAAAATAAACAAAACACTATGATGCGTTGGAATTATTTATCGGAGTGTAAAGAAATTTGTGTAATTAAAATATAATATTATTATTAATATATCAGTTAAGATATATTTTGATTGTTATCGCAAATGCTAATCTTACAGGAAATTGTAACCTATTAAATGGAATAGTACAATCTGAGGGTATCATTGGAATCTGACAAAAACAAACTAGACAAACTAAATATTATATCATATTATATTAAATTTTGACCGAAAAGAAAATATTTTGACAATTATAATTAATTTGAAATAAAATGCAAATGTCAAAAATCAGACCTTTATGTAAAAAAATATTTATTTCCACAATATTCCTGTGTTGATTTAGCCAAACTTATAAATTTAACAATTATATAATTATTCATTGATGACTTAAAATAATTATTAATTTATTAACAAATAAATAATATTTGAAAGAAAATTTTATTGACATATATGACATGACAAAAGTATAATAAACAAAAAACTATGATGCGAGTGAATTAATATTTGAAGTAAGAGAGGTCAAATAATTTTGAAAATTATAACAAATTTTTAACTATTTGTCAAAGAATCAGAGTCCAAATCTGTTAAATATTTGATTTTTGGCACTTTTATTAATTTTTTAACAATTCAGGCATATTTTTTATGGCAAAGCACCGTTTGCCGGGTTAGCTAGTATATATATATATATATATATATATATATATATAATTTGCAGAATGTATTTATTATTACCCATAGTAGGTGAAGATGTGCATCAAGAAGTTCCTCACACGTTGCCAAAAGTCCATACGATCCGATAAATTAGTCATCATGTGTGGAACGTAACTAGAATATAATAAAAGTATTAACGATTAGCAAAAGTTATGAATTATTAACTTCCCGTAGGGTAAGTTATTGTAATGGGCCGAAAATCGAAATTGAACACTTTTACATTTCTCGACGTTTTGAAGGTTTCTGAACATTTTACTGACATACCTCAGAAAACTAATGGATGTGTGTGTGTGTGTGTGTATGTATGTATGGATACAACTTTTCGTCCACGTTTTCGGGCGCACGGATCAACCGATTTGAATGGTTCAAAAAACATTCGATTCCTATTGATAGGGAGATGTGCTGATTAGTTTTTGGCAAAGGCAGGTCCAGCATTTACGGAGATAAAGAGCAAAGAGTGCAGAAAATAGAAATCGAGTTTTTGAAAGAACGGAGCATCCGATTTGAATGATCTAAAAAACATTCAATTAGTAATGATTGGGAAAAGTGTCTATTAGTTTTTGATAAAGGCAGGCCCAGCCATTTCAAAGATACAAAGCTAAATGTGTAAAAAATGGCAGTTTTTGAGAGAACTAAGCGTCCGATTTAAATGATTCAAAGAACTTTCTGCTTGTTTTAACAAAATAATTGATTTTGAAAAAAAAAATTGTTCTAAATTTTTTTTTTCATTTTTTTTTTTTCAATTTTTGTATATCGAAAATAATTCAGATTTTATTTTTAATTCTGACTATAGTTCTAATATACTTTAAACAAATAATTTCAACTTTGCAATTCAGTTTATATAATTCTTATAAATATTAGACAATGTTACAATATTAATAATAATCTATTTGAAAACATTCAGTATTCCTCAAACATTTCGTTACGGTACGGGAAGTTCCAGCAATTTGCCTTAAGGCGCGATGCCATACACCCCACTAGTTTGTGTTTACTTTCTATTGGTTTATATTTTTTGTATTTAATTCTGTTTTTCACTTGCTGGAAACTTTATTTAAATGGTCTTAAAATTTTAAATTATAATACACCGATGATGAGACAAACCAAGTCTCGAAACGTTTGTAAAATTAATATTATTTAATAAAATAGTTTAGACACAGAGAAACATAATGAATTTGAAAATGCGCGCCATTGTTAAATGCGAAAGCGATATGAGAAGTGTCTCATCTTTCTGTAAGTATACTCTATGCTCCATATGTCAAATTATAAATTTAATTTAAGTTGAAATCATTTATGGACTACGGTATTGAAAAGGATTGTTAATTATTGATTAAACTAGCTTATTATTTAGCCCACGCCTATTTTGGAATCATTTCAATTATTTCGTAAGTGAGTATAAGCAGTTGAAATATTTAAAAATGTCAGAAGAAACACTTATGTCAATGAATGATCCGGCAATTAAAATTGAACCACTAGAATATTCAGAAGAAGACATTAAACACGAAATTCAGGATGATATTGATGTTTCTGACGATGTTGTTAAATCTGAATCGTGTTCTGAGGATGATGAAACCTGTTTAGAAAATTTCAAGAACTCTGAAGTGACTTTCGAAGAAGGAGTCAAACAGGAGTTAGTCGAGGCATCAGTTTATGAATGTGACATTTGTGATCAATCATTTGCAGAATCTGATCAATTAAAAGAGCATATGGTCGATCACAAGCCTAGTAGTAGCAAAGAACGCTCTTTACCATGCGAAATCTGTCATAAGACTATCAAACAAAAGGTTACCTGAAAACTCACATGCTTTTGCATAGTGAAAAACGCCCCCATGAATGCAGTATATGCAACAAGACATTCACACAAAAATGTCATCTGAAAACACACACGCTGATTCACAAAGGAATATAAACATTTCTTAAATTGAATTTAAATATTAGGAAAAAATAAAATATGTGAAAGAATGTATCAATAGTTTAAATCACATTATATTCATTTATTGTTAAAACCAGGCAATTGTTACTTATTATTCACTTTATTGGTTCTTTTTTAACTAGTAATAGTAACTTTACTAACTATAGTAATGGTTTTTTTCCATGTTTTGAAGGTTTCTGAACATTTTGGCATACCTCAGAAAAAATGGATGTATGTGTGTGTGTGTGTGTGTGTACGTATGTATGGAACAATTTTTCGGTCACGTTTTCGGGCGCACGAATCAACCGATTTAAGTGGTTCAAAAAACATTCGATTCCTATTGATAGGGAGATGTGCTGATTAGTTTTTGGTAAAGGCAGGTCCAGCCATTTCGAAGATACAAAAATTTTTTTTTCAAGGAATTTTTTTTTGTATATCGAAAATAATTCAGATATTAATATTAATTCTGTTCTAATATATTTTTAACAAATAATTTCAACTTTGCAATTTAGTTTATGTAGGTCTTATAAATACTAGACAATGTTACAATATTTATAATAATATATTTGAAAACGTTTAAAATTTCTTGAATATTTCATTACGGTACAGGAAGTTCCAGCAATTTGCCTTAAGGCATGATGCCATACACCACTAGTTTAGTTATATATTTTACCTTGGTATCGTTGGAATATCCACTTGATGTGCCATCCAGTCCATAGGAATAGCACACGATAAAGACACCCATGGTGCTTGAAATTTATGGACGAAGCCCAAAAAGCAATCCGTGCCAAAAGTTTCTGTAACTATCAAGTCGTACTTTTCATTGGAGGCTGCCAAATCTTGAAACTAGGAAAAAAAAAATAATATTACGATGAATTATGAAAATTAGATAAGGTAGATGGAAGAGTTTCTACTCAGAGGTGAACAACTCTCTACAAAATTTTTTTTTGTCGAAAAATTTTACCTTTGTACAAATAAACTGATAACTGTTCATATCAATTATCAAGTGATATGTTAAATAATTCAATTACCAAAGTGAAAATTACAAAATAGGGGGGTGAAAATTTAGGGTCGGATGTACTTTCTAATTTCTCATTAAATAAACTTAAAACTAGTGGGGTGTATGGCATCGTGCCTTAAGGCAAATTGCTGGAACTTCCCGTACCGTAACAAAATGTTCGAGGAATACTGAATGTTTTCAAAGAGATTATTATAAATATTGTAACATTGTCTAATATTTATAAATATTATATAAACTGAATTGCAGAGTTGAAATTATTTGTAAAGTATATTAGAACTATAGTCAGAATTAAAAATGAAATCTGAATTATTTTCGATATACAAAAAAAATTGTTTTTGAAAAAAAAAAGTTGAAACAATTTTTTTTTCCAAAATCAATTATTTTGTTAAGACAAGCAGAAAGTTCTTTGAATCATTTAAATCGGACGCTTAGTTCTCTCAAAAACTGCCATTTTTTGCACATTTAGCTCCGTATCTTCGAAATGGCTGGGCCTGCCTTTGCTAAAAACTAATAACCAACCTTCTCCCAATCATTACTAATTGAATGTTTTTTAGTTCATTCAAATCGGATGCTCCGTTCTCTCAAAAACTCGATTTCTATTTTCTGCGCTCTTTGCACCGTATCTCCGTAACTGCTAGTCCTGCCTTCGCCAAAAACTAATCAGCACATCTCCTTATCAATAGGAATCAAATGTTTTTTGAACCATTCAAATCGGTTGATCCGTGCGCCCGAAAACGTGGACGAAAAATTGTATCCATACATACATACACACACACACACATCCATTTTTTTTGAGGTATGCCAAAACGTTCAGAAACCTTCAAAACGTCGAGAAATGTAAAAATTTTCAATTCCGATTTTCGGCCCATTACAATAACTTACCCTACGGGAAGTTAATAAACTTAAAATAAGGAAAATTGGTTAAAAAAAGGACTATTACAAAATGCAAGTTTGGAAAAACGCAGGGTAAAAATTTAGGGTTGTACGTATTTTTCAATTGAAAAGTCGAATTTTCAAAAAGTCATTTTTTTCTAAAAATATCAAAATTTCTCAAAAATCTCATTTCTTCATAGTTTTTTTTAAATTGTAATTTTTGGTACGGAAAGTTCCAGCAATTTGCCTTAAGGCGCGATGCCATGCACCCCTAGTTTTAAGTTTATTTAATAGGAAAATTAAAAAAGTCTCAGGGGTAGAAAACCCATATTGAAAAATCCAAAGTGAAAATTACAAAATGGGAATTTGTAGTAGGAGGGTAAAAATTTTAAATTGTATGTACATTCCATGTACTTTCCAATTCCGCATTAATAAAACTAGAATAAAAAAAAATGTTGAAAAAAGACCATTACATAATGTAAATTTGGGAGGGTAAATATTTAGGGTTTTATGTTTATTGTTCTTTCGATGACCTTGTTAACTTCCCGTAGGGCAAGTTATAGTAATCGCAAAAAAATCGAAAATGAAAATTTTTATATATCTTTACGTTTCAGAGGTTTCTGAACATTTTGGCATACCTTGGAAAAAATGGATGTATGTGTGTGTGTGTCTGTGTGTGTGTGTGCATGTATGTATGTGTGTGCGGATACAAATTTTCGTCGACGATTTCGGGAACACGGATCAACCGATTTGAATAATTCAAAAAACATTCGATTCGTATTGATGAGGTGACGTGCTGATTAGTTTTTGACGAAGGCAGGTCTAGCCGTTCCGAAAAAACGGGGCAAAAAGTGCCGAAAACGGTAACTCAGTTTTTAAGAGAACGGAGCGTCCGATTCGAATAATTCAAAAAACATTTTACTTGTATTGACAAGATGAAGAATTGATCGAATTTTCATGAAGGCAGGTCTAGCGGTTTCCAAGATCTAATGATAAAAGTAAAAAAAAATGCCATTTGGCGGTCAAAAATGATCATTAGACATATGCACATCAAATTATCAGATATTTTATAGAGATTTTAACAATAAGTTTAAAAATTTTTACACATCTATGGGTTCCGTACCAGTGTTCATCCGTTAGACGGCGATACGGCGCTTACGCGCTTTGACATTTCGTCTCTAAGCAGTTAAAGCAGTACGATTGCTTTGAAAAAAAGTTCAGAATTTCCAAAATAAGTCAAAATAAAAAAAACATTTTTCTTTTCAAAAAAATTTTGTTTTCAAAAAAAAAATTTTTTTTCAAAAAAAAAATTTTTTGTCAAATTTATAGTTTCTCAAAAATCTAATATTTTCGAAGTAAAATTTTTTCAAAAATGTTAATCTTTTTTAAAAAAATTTGCCTTAAGGCACGATGCCTTAATTGCCTTAAGACAGAATTCCACTTACAGCTAGTTATATACATGTACATTAGTCATATGCATTTTATAAGTTATCTTTACAATTTTATTTTATTTGATTGCATATCAATAGAAACAAATGTCGTTTCTGCGCATGCCAATACTTGATTGTCATTTGTCAGCTCATTGTTTGGTTCAGAGGCGTACCAAAGACATTGTGAGACATAGTGATTTCTTTACTTATAAACATTTGAATTACAATTTTTTTTTTTGTAATTTTGGGTAAAATGGCAGCCAAATACCAGAAGAGGTACACATCCGGCATTGCATGCTCTTTGAGTTTCGCAAGGGAAATAACGCAACAGTTGCTACCAAAAACATTTGCGATGTTTATCCAAAAGCACTGGATATTCGTAAATGCCAAAGGTGGTTTTCCAAGTTCAAATCGGGTAATTTTGATCTTTCCGACTCGTATCGATCAGGAAGACCATCAGCGTTAGACAACGACGTGTTAACGGCGGAATTGGAAGCAAATCCGTGTCAGACGATCGAGGAATTGTCAAACAGTCTCAACCAACCTTGGTCGACCATCCAAGAACATTTGAAGCAGATTGGGAAAGTAAGCAGAGCAGGTGTTTGGGTCCCGCATAATTTGTCCGAACAGAATAAGGCTAACCGATCAATCACATGCAACTTATTGCTTCAACGACACAACACAGAAGCGTTTTGCCTCATCCACCATATTCGACCGATGTCGCACCATCGGATTTCCACTTATTCCGAGGGCTGCAACACTTTTTAAGTGGCAAAACATTTGCAAATTTGGATGATATCCAAAATGCCATCTCTAGATATTTTTCCGAAAAACCAATTAATTTTTATCGATCAGGGATTGAAAATTTACTCACTGGATGGCAAAAGGTTATTGACAATGATGGGGAATACATCATTGATTAAAAATAAAGACTCGTTAAAAATGTATGTGTTTGTAGTTTAGCGTAAGAAAACGACATTACTTTCCGGTCCCCCTAATATTTAATGGAAAATAAATAAAAACCCTAATTTTCTTCAGAAAAAGTCTCAGGGGCAGAAAACCTTTATTAATTCGGTATACCGGTATACCGAATTACTGGTAAACCGCCCGAATTTTCGGCGGTATTTTTACCGGTATTTACCCCTAAAATACCGGTATTTTCAGTATCTTTGCATAAACGCTATTTGATACATAATACCCTAATGTTCAAATTTCTCGGAACTAATTTATCTTTAAATTCCATAATCGCATAAACAGCTATATCTTCAAGTGATTCTATATGATGAACAAATGTCAAATATTATCTCAACTCGTCATTAAACTGAATAATTATTGCTTTCCATAGGGCTTCATATCGTGTTACAATAAATAGAATTGGACTGACAGATTATGATGTTTGTTTCATCTTTTGTAAAAATGTAACGATTTTTTTATGTGATATTTGCGCCAAAATATTTTATATCATACAGATTACCACTGCGTAATATTTATTTTTTCTAACTATATACATAATAATTTGATAATTACTAAATATTTTTGCTTGTTATTACAATTATAAAATATTATTTTTCGAAAACGTTTCGAAGTTTGAAAATACTACAGAAGCATCACATTGTTTTAAATAAAAATACTCAACAATTATAGTAACTTATTATTTATCTTGACAAAGTATCCGATCTTAAATTAGTGTAGAATTATTGTTTTAATTTTGGAGATTATGCTAATTTAACACATCGGATACAGACAATACAGTTTATTATAATAATGTAATATGATCTTTTATGAGTTTTTGATCTTTCTTACTCATAAGTTTGTTTTTCGTGAAAAGTACTCAATATATTCGATAGTGATAATGAATTAATTAAATTGGATATAATTTTGTTAAATTATTATTTAAAAAAATAAACTTATTGTTTTATTTTATTGTTTAGTTGAATATAGTTGTAGCTGTATATACACTTTTTATATTTGTCCTAGTAACTTTCAATTTTGTTCACGTTTGTTTAAGATAATAAAAATACCGGTAATTTACCGGTATACCGGTTTTAAAATGAAAAATTACCGAAATACCGGTATTGAAATTTTCCATCGGTATTGCATTCCCTAGTGCCAACCAAGCCAAAACAGTTATCATATTTTCGAACCCAGGCTTATATAAACAAAATTGCAAACAAAGTTTACTAAATCAATAATACTAATAATTTAATTATAACATTATATTCTAATTACTGTACCTGTTTTGTTGGATACAACATTTTACACAAATACTTCCAGTCAAGTGCCAAACGACAAAAGCAGTCCCGATGAGCCCCATTTGTCCAACGAGACTGTAACTCATATTGTTCATAACTGTTGGCAGAGTACCTGCCAGACTTATTTCTTTATAACTAGAAAAATATAATTAATAATTAATAAAATATTATTAAATAAAATGATATATCATTTTTGATTACTTGGCTAAGGGTTCTTTTCGTGGAAAATGTGTGACGACTGTGACTTGGTGTCCTTTTTTGGCAAGGGCTTCCATTAGGGCTTTTGCAGGTGCCCAATGGCTTGGTCCATTTAATGGAAAAAGTCCTAAAATAATAATTTATATATATATATATATATATATATATATATACATATATATATGATAGTTTTGTCGACGTTGATACATATTTGTAAAATTTTTGCAGCCCAATCGTCGAATTAAAAAGATATTAAATAACAAAATTATTTATTCCATTAAACGTTTCGACACTTGATGTATGTCATCATTCAGTAATCAAACCAGAAAAAATAATTATGATGTAAAATTAATTGAACACTAAATATGTATAAAATAATAATATACTATTATATTAACATATGAGAAATTGAAGGATTGCCTGACCACACTTGCTTTGTAGCCTTGATCAGTGTCCATAATGCACCGCTATTAATAACATAAAATATAGGAGGGCAATATGTGCTCCTTCAATTTCTCGTTTGTTAATATAATAGTATATTATTATTTTACACAAATTTAGTGTTCAATCAGTTTTACATCATAATTAATTTTTTCTGTTGTTTTTCCTGGTTTGGTATGTATAATTTCCTCATTTTTTATATATTTATATTTATCATCAACTTTGTATTTATATTATATTATATGTTTTTTAGATTACTGAATGATGACACACATCAAGTGTCGAAACGTTTAATGGAATAAATAATTTGGTTATTTAATCTCTTTTTAATTCGACGATTGGGCTGCAAAAAATTTTACAAATATATATATATATATATATATATATATATATATATATTGTAATATATATTTATATTTATCATCACTTGTGCATTTATGTTAAATGTTTTTTAGATTACTGAATGATGACACACATCAAGTGTCGAAACGTATAATGGAATAAATAATTTTGTATTTAATCTTTTTTTAATTCGACTGTTGGGCTGCTAAAAATTTACAAATATATATATATATATATATATATATATATATATTTAATAAAATATTACATAAATATATAATAAAATATATCTTATAGTTACAAGTTTATAAATCAACTATTTATAATTCAAAAACGTAATTAATACTATTGATAATAAGCTAATAAATTTAACTAATTAATA